GCCTCATTCCTCCAGTTTACTTTATTTGAATTTCAAGCAGTTTTAAAGCAATTACTTCTAACGTGTCAATAAGCTGTTGAGAAAGACATCTGCTGAAGACGGTCTAGAACAAAGGGACTTGAATCACCTACAGTACCAGGCATTCATTTGAACACGTTTTCACAAAATATCTTAACTCACCTGACCTCATCTGATTCAGCTCAGTTTACTTTGTGTCTTATGGTTAAATAAGATGCAGATAATAAAGTATCACACCTACAGTTTATTAGAGATTCACAGAAGTAAAAATGTAAAAAGTAGAATTTTTTGATGAGGATTTGGTTGAATAGTTACATTTGTAGCACAAAAAGTCAGAACTGTGGCCAGTAAAACTACTGATTTACTAATATGTAAAATCCCATTTATTTATATTTATTTGAGGTAGGTACATATAGCAGCTAAGCTACAGCTTATGGTAACTGGTTGACAGAGGCCTCATGAGAAAATCCTTAAATATGCATTGCATAACTAAATGAATCACACTTTATAGAAGCTACTTCCAGTTGCTCTGTTATTCATCAGTGGTGGCCACAGCGGGGAGTTTTTTTTAAATACCGGATGCCCTTCCTGACACTACCCAAAGGGATTTGTGTCTCATCTCAGGCTCTTTCGCATGTTAGGCGAATGTGTAAACCAGTACACACTAAATAAATCACATATTACATTAACAAATCAGAAACTCTCTCTAAAGAACCACAAACTATTTAAACTTAATTTACTCATTTCATTCAGTCTGTGGAAGCATTACATCATCCGTGGGGCCGTGAATTTCACTTTACTTTTGTTTATCAAGATAGTTGATTTACTTGCTCACAAGAGAGATCGTTTAGGAATCTTCCCAAAGGTCGATATTTTAGAAAACAGTGCATCATTTCGTTAAAAAGAAGCAAAGCTTTTCTTACCTGTTGCAAGTCTGGAGTCGCCAAGGTGGTTAGTCCATTCAACACACTGATCAGCTTGAGGAGGATTGGCTTTAGGTGGATAATTTTAACTCTCTCTCTCTCTCTCTCTCATCACTCACTCTTCTGCGCACACACCTGACTACTTTTTTTTTATTATGTACTTCAATAACAAAATGTTTAACTCTAAATGTTCAGGTAAAAACTTTTAAAACCTCAGCGATGCAAGAAAAACCAACAAAAGCAATCATGGGACCTTTGGACAAATTTTTGGACTAATAGGCAATCGTGCACACTAAACTGATCACCTGATTTAGGAAATGTGAGCGTGCCTTCCTTTGCTTGTACTTTGAATAAACTGCAGACTCTTTCAAGTGTCTTAGATAAGATGGAGGAAAGTTGGATCACTCCTGTCGCTTTGGCATCATGAAGTCGATTTAATTGAAGATTTGGTTGTTGAGCCAATAGCTTTTACTCAGCTCACACAAATCGCAACCATGCCCAACCGTGTACACAGTGTTGGGAAGGTTACTTTTAAAATGTATTCCATTACAGAATACAGAATACATGCCCCAAAATCTATTCTTACGTTACGTTACTCAATGAGAGTAACGTATTCTGAATACTTTGGATTACTTAATATATTATCATGCTGTTTACAACTACATGAATGTAC